AGGTAGGGAAAAGTCCAAGGTGGAACATTGACCAAGAAACTAAGTGGCTGACTGAGTCAAGTGCTGCTGAGAGGTCAAGTGAGAGGAGGACTGGGGATTGTCTAGAGGATTTGGAAAGATGGAGCTCATTGGTGATCTTGAGAAGAATGGCTTCTCTGGGTTGCAGCAAAGAAAACATGATTGGAGAAGACTAAAAAGAGACTATAAAGTGAGGAAGAGGACACCTTGAATATTGACAAGTCATTTTAGAAATGGTAGTACAAGTGGACTTGAGAAGTAGGAGTGGGTGGTTGGAGGTGGGCATAGATTTTAGAGAGGACAGATTTCTTTTTAAGATAGAAGATATTATAGCATGTTTATATGCTGGTGGGAATGTTCTAATATAAAGGGGAAATGTGGAAATGCTGGAGAGAGTAGACGATGGAAAGCCTTCAAATAGGTAAGAGAGGATCCAGGGCTTAAGTTGTGACATCTAAGAGGACCTCCACTACAGGACAGTTCTTCCAGCATAAGGGGAGAAAAGGCAAGCATTAGTAAATGTGCCGATGGGGACCTGCAACAGCGTCTTCTGGTTGTTCCTACTTTGTTAGTAAAAGCAGAGGTGGAGTCTGTTTCCACCGGTTTCCACAAGTCCAGCTTACTCAGACTGCTGTCAACTTAGAACCCCATCACCTCACCATGACAACTGTTAGAAGAGCCCAGTTACCACTCACAGACACGGAAAACAAACATGGTTACCTAAGGGGAAAGAGGGCATGGGGGAGGGATAAGTTAGGAGACTGGGATTCACATATACACACTATGGTAAAACAGAGCCTCCCCAGGGGCTCAGTGGTAAAACCAACAAGGAACTACTGCGTAGCACAGGATCTATCCAGTAGGTATATACACCATCTTATGTAATAACCTATAAGGGAAAAGAACATTTTAGATTCTTTATATAAGTATAAAGAATATATATGTATATACATATTCATATATATGTGTGTATATATATATATATATATATATATATATGTATAACTGAATCACTGTGCTGTATACTTGAAACTTGCTTGATATTGTAAATCAACTATACTTCAATTAAAAAATTTTAGAAAAGACGAGCCCTCCTATGATAGATTCTGGATCCTGAGCAGTGCCACAGCCAGCTCTGGTACTTTGTTCCTTAGAAAACATACCAGTTAGAGAAGCAGAAGCATGATACTATCTTGTTTGAACTCAGAATGCACTGAGCATAGGCTTTTCAGCTTCCCAAACTGTCATACAATCTAGTGGAGTGTGAAGTGGAGGAGGAGCAAGTTATGGTTAAAATGCTCACCATCGTTAGGCTGGGACTACTGGCACCCTATAAAAAATCAAGAAAACAACCTTACATGTTTTAAGCTTCTATTTTTTTTTTTCAGTGGTTTTCCTGGTTTCTCTTCATATTTGGATGCTTTGGCATTAAGTGCTTTTTAATTCAGCTTCTCCCTAAATTGCTTCCTCTTAAACATCCCCCTCTTTAGCTTCAGCGAGCCTCAGCCATATCGCAGGCTCCCAGTGACCATTTCTCCTCCCTGCCTGGTTACAGCTTCCTAGGGAGGGAGGTCCTCACACAAATGTGACAACATATAAAATAGATTTTACACTTAACTTTTTTTTAACAGTTCTTTTTAAAAAATTATTTATTTTTGGCTGCTGTGGGTCTTCTGTGCCATGCACTGGGTTCTCTGGTTGCAGCAACTGGGAGGCTACTGTTTGTTGTGGTGCATGGGCTTCTCATTGAAGTGGCTTTTCTTGTTGAGGTGCATGGGCTCTAGGGTGAGCAGGCTTCAGTAGTTGTGGCATGTGGGCTCAGTAGTTGCAGCTGGTAGGCTCTAGAGCACAGGTTCAGTGGTTGTGGCGCATGGGCTTAGTTGTTACCCCATAGCATGTGGAATCTTCTCGGACCAAGGATCAAACCCTTATTTCCTGCATTTGGACCACGAGGGAAGCCCCTAAAATAGATTTTAAAAGGATAAACTAATATCACCATAAGCTGTCACTGATTAATCAAGACACAGTGTCAATAGTAGAACTTTCTAAACAAGATTTTGCCATTTAATCTTTTTTCATCCATCTTTAGTTCTAAAGAAAAAAAACCCCAACTTTCTAAAGGAGCATGGCCCCACCCGTCAGAACAAGACCCAGTTTCTCTCTCAGTCAGTCTCTCCCATCAGGAAGCTTCCATAAGCCTCTTATCCTTCTCCATAAGTGGGCAGACAGACTGAAAACCACAATTACAGAAAACTAACCAATCATGTGATCACATGGACCACAGCCTGGTCTAACTCGATGAAGCTATGAGCCATGCTATATAGGGCCACCCAAGATGGACAGGTCTTGGTGGAGAGTTAAGACAAAATGTGACCCACTGGAGAAGGAAATGGCCTATTCTTGCCTTGAGAACCCCATGAACAGTATGAAAAGGCAAAAAGATAGGACACTGAAAGATGAACTCCCCAGGTCAGTAGTTGCCCAATATACTACTGGAGATCACTGGAGAAATGACTCCAGAAAGAATGAAGAGATGGGATCAAAGCAAAAACAACACCTACTTGTGAATGTGACTGGTGATAGAGGCAAAAAGTCCAATGCTGTAAGGAGCAATATTGCATAGGAACCTGGCATGTCAGGTCCATGAATCAAAGCAAATTAGTTCAGAACGTTCAGTTCACTCAGTTGTGTCTGACTCCTTGCGACCCCGTGGACTGCAGCACACCAGGCCTCCCTATCTATCACCAACTCCCGGTTTGCTCAAACTCATGTCCATTGAGTCGGTGATGTCATGTAACCATCTCATCCTGTCATCCCCTTCTCCTCCCACCTCCAATCTTTCCCAGCATCAGGGTCTTTTCAAATGAGTCAGCTCTTTGCATCAGGTGGCCAAAGCATTGGAGTTTCAGCTTCAGCATCAGTCCTTCCAATGAAAATTCAGGACTGATTTCTTTTACGATGGACTGGTTGGATCTCCTTGCTGTCCAAGGGACTCTCAAGAGTCTTCTCCAACACCATAGTTCAAAAGCATCAATTCTTCAGCACTCAGCTTTCTTTATAGTCCAACTCTCACATCCATACATGACTTCTGAAAAAACAACAGCCTTGACTAAACTGACCTTGGTTGGCAAAGTAATGTCCCTGCTTTTTAATATGCTGTCTAGGTTGGTCATAGCTTTTCTTCCAAGTAGTAAAGTGTCTTTTAATTTCATGGCTTTAGTCTCCATCTGCAGTGATTTTGGAGCCCCAAAAAATAAAGTCTACCACTGTTTCCACTGTTTCCCCATCTATCTGCCATGAAGTGATGGGACCAGATGCCATGATCTTAGTTTTCTGAATGTTGAGTTTTAAGCCAACATTTTCACTCTTCTCTTTCACTTTCATCAAGAGGCTCTTCTGCCCTAAGGGTGGTGTCATCTGCATATCTGAGGTGATTGATATTTCACCAAGTCAGCAGAGATAGATTTTTTTTCTGGAACCCTCTTGCTTTTTTGATGATCCAACAGATTTTGGCAATTTGATCTTTGGTTCCTCTGCCACTTTCAAGGCAAACTGGAAGTGGTCAAACAGGAGATGGCAAGAGTAAGCATTGATTTTAGGAATCAGCAAACTAAAATGGACTGGAATGGGTGAATTTAACTCAGATGACCATTATGTCTACTACTGTGGGCAAGAATCCCTTAGGAGAAATGGGTAGCCATCATTGTCAACAAAAGAGTCCAAAATGCAGTACTTGGATGCAGTCTCAAAAACGACAGAATGATCTCTCTTTGTTTCCAAGGCAAACCATTCAGTGTCACAGTAATTCAAGTCTATGCTCCGACCACTAATGCTGAAGAAGCTGAAGTTGAATGGTTCTATGAAGACCTACAAGACCTTGTAGAACTAACACCCAAAAAAGATGTCCTTTCCATTACAGGGGACTGGAATGCAAAAGTAGGAAGTCAGGAAACACCTGGAGTAACTGAAAAATTTGGCCTTGGAGTACAGGATGAAGCAGGGCAAAAAAAAGGCTAATAGAGTTATGCCAAGAGAACACACTGTTCATAGCAAACACCCTCTTCCAACAACACAAGAGAAGACTCTACATGTGGACATCACCAGATGGTCAATACTGAAATTGGATTGATTATATTCTTTGCAGCCAAAGGTGGAGAAACTCTATATAGTCAGCAAAAACAAGACCAGGAGCTGACTGTGGCTCAGATCATGAACTCCTTATTGCCAAATTCAGACTTAAATTGAAGGAAGTAGGGAAAACCACTAGACCATTCAGATATGACCTAAATCAAATCCCTTATGATTATACAGTGGATGTGAGAAATAGATTGAAGGGATTAGATCTGATAAACAGAGTGCCTGATGAACTATGGATGGAGGTTCATATGACATGTACAGGAGACAGGAATCAAGACCATCCCCAAGAAAAGGAAATGCAAAAAAGCAAAATGGTTGTCTGAGGAGGCCTTACAAATAGCTGGGAAAAGAAGAGAAGCAAAAAGCAAGGGAGAAAAGGAAAGATATACCCATTTGAATGCAGAGTTCCAAAGAATAGCAAGGAGCGATAAGAAAGCCTTCCTCAGTGATCTTTGCAAAGAAATAGAGGAAAACAATAGAATGGGAAAGACTAGAGATCTCTTCAAAAAAATTAGAGATACCAAGGCAACGTTGAATGGGCACAATAAAGGATAGAAATAATATGGACCTAATGGAAGCAGAAGATGTTAAGAAGAGGTGGCAAGAATACACAGAAGAACTGTACAAAAAAGATCTTCATGACCCAGATAATCACGATGGTGTGATCATTCATCTAGAGCCAGGCATCCTGGAATGCAAAGTCAAGCGGGCCTTAGGAAGCATCACTACAAACAAAGCTAGTGGAGGTGATGGAATTCCAGTGGAGCTATTTCTTTCTTTCTTTCTTTTTTTTGGGGGGGGTTTTATGCTTTTATTACCACAAACAAAATGTGCACACGAGCTGTCTATTCATTTTCCTCACTGCGCAGTCTGGCATTGGGATTGGTGATCCTGATGGCCAGCTGGGCTGCTCTTTCCACAATGGCCTTGCGGTTCTTGGAGGAGACGTTGTGAGCAGTCTCAGAACAGTAAGATTTGTTGCACATCAGCAGCACCTCAAGCTCCTTGACGTTGTGGACCAGGAACTTCCGGAAGCCGCTGGGCAGCATGTGCTTGGTTTTCTTGTTGCTCCCGTAACCGATGTTGGGCATCAAGATCTGGCCCTTGAATCTTCTGCACACCCTGTTGTCAATGCCTCTGGGTTTCCGCCAGTTCCGCTTGATTTTTGACATATCGATCTGACTGATGCCTAATGAACTTCCTGGTCCTCTTCTTGACGATCTTAGGCTTCACAAGGGGACTGAGGGCGGCCATGATGCCGAGTCAGAGATGGCTGCCACCTCCATAGGCAGCACCGAGGAAGAGCCAGTGGAGCTATTTCAACTCCTAAAAGATGATGCTGTGAAAGTGCTGCACTCAGTATGTCAGCAAATTTGGAAAACTCAGCAGTGGCCAGAGGACTGGAAAAGGTCAGTTTTCATTCCAATCCCAAAGAAAGGCAATGCTAAAGAATGCTCAAACTACTGCACAATTGCACTCATCTCACACGCTAGTAAAGTAATGCTCAAAATTCTCCAACCAGGCTTCAACAATATGTGAACCGTGAACTTCCAGATGTTCAAGCTGGATTTAGAAAAGGCAGAGGAACCAGAGATCAAATTGCCAACATCTGTTGGATCATCAAAAAAGCAAGAGAGTTCCAGAAAAACATCTATTTCTGCTTTCTTGACTATGCCAAAACCTTTGACTGTGTGGATCACAATAAACTGTGGAAAATTTTGAAGGAGATGGGAATACCAGACCACCTGACCTGCTTCTTGAGAAATCTGTATGCAGGTCAGGAAGCAACAGTTAGAACTGGGCATGGAACAACAGACTGGTTCCAAATAGGAAAAGGAGTACGTCAAGGCTGTATATTGTCACCCTGCTTATTTAACTTATATGCATCATGAGAAACGCTGGGCTAAATGAAGCACAAGCTGGAATCAAGATTGCTGGGAGAAATATCAATAACCTCAGATATGCAGATGACACCACCCTTATGGCAGAAAGTGAAGAAGAACTAAAGAGCCTCTTGATGAAAGTGAAAGAGGAGAGTGAAAAAGTTGGCTTAAAACTCAACATTAAGAAAACTAAGATTATGGCATTTGGTCCTATCACTTCATGGCAAATAGATGGGGGAACAGTGGAAACAGTGACAAACTTTGTTTTTGGTGGCTCCAAAATCACTGAAGATGGTGACTGCAGTCATGAAATTAAAAGACACTTACTCCTTGGAAGAAAAGCTATGACTAACCTAGACAGCATATTAAAAAGCAGAGACACTCCTTTGCCAACCAAGGTCTGTCTAGTGAAAGCTATGGTTTTTCCAGTGGTCATGTATGGATGTGAGAGTTGGACTATAAAGAAAGTTGAGTGCTGAAGAATTGATGCTTTTGAACTGTGGTGTTGGAGAAGACTCTTGAGAGTCCCTTGGACAGCAAGGAGATCCAACCAATCCATCCTAAAAGGAAATCAGTCCTGAATTTTCATTGGAAGGACTGATGCTGAAGCTGAAACTCCAATGCTTTGGCCACCTGATGCAAAGAGCTGACTCATTTGAAAAGACCCTGATGCTGGGAGGATTGAAGGCAGGAGGAGAAGGAGACAACAGAAGATGAGATGGTTGGATGGCATCACTGACTCGGTGGACATGAGTTTGAATAAATTCCGGGTGTTGGTGATGGACAGGGAGTCCTGGCATGCTGCAGTCTGTGGGGTCACAAAGAGTTGGACACAACTGAGCGACTGAACCTACCTGAACTGAAAGGAACAGCACACCCAGGAGTTAGGTTTGAGATAAGATGAGGATAAAGAAGGTTTCTTCCCCATTAAAGAGCACATACACACACACGCTCAGAAACACACACTTTGGTTACTCGTACACATAGTAACTATGTTTATTGTAGCTTACAGATGAATGAATAGCAAATTAAAATTTTTTTTTGCCAGTAAGAACTTTGTAGCAAAGCAAAGAGGTATATTAATATAAAAAAGGAACCATGCACAATTGTACACAAATATCTCAGTTTTGTAAACAAACTTTCTTCAGTCCAACGTTAGTAGAGAGGTGTTTGGACCTCATGGTTGAAGTAAAGTATCTGAGTGAACGTACTTTTAACTAAACAGGAGTCATGTTTATTTTCTTACAGAATATGGGACTAAATAAATTAGGCTTTAAACAAACAAACAAACTCTTAATTGAAAGCCAGATACCTAGTTTGTCATGTGCCATGACTCAAAATGATCTGGGAACTTTCCTTTGGAAATACCTTCAAAGTTCTTTTTACAAGTAGAGTGACCAACCGTCTCTGTTTTTCCAGGACTGTAGTGTTTCGCAGGGTGTGGGACTTTCAAAACTAAGCAGCCTTGGGTAAACTTTCCTGGTTTATCTGGGTCTGAGAGAGATTTTCAGTTATAAAACTTAGAGTGCCAGGCAAAATGGGTTGAGTTTGGTCCCTCCATGAGCTATACAAGAATTACCAGCTGTTGCTTTACAGTTACAACTATGTTATTCAATTAGATCGATCCCCTTCTTATTTTTAAGACTTGACCCAAAGTACCTTTGGTTGTTTCAGAAGATCAATTTTATCCCCACCATGTCCCCAACCAAATATGTGATAGCACTCAGGATAGTCTTCGTTCACAGGAAATTTTACAAACCTCTCCTTCCTTCCTTTCTTTCCTTTCTTACCTTTTCATATTTCATACCTTTACTGCATATAAAAGTATCTAGTAGGGTATGTGACAGACTTTCTCCTTGACCATACCACAGTCAACTTCTCTGAGCCCTCTTCTCTGCTAGGTCTTGACTTTGGCCCATATCTGGTCTTTGGCCTGTCTAGCCCAGTTTTAGCAAGAGTCCTTCTAAGTCAGCTTAACAAGAATCCCATTACCTTTGATATCTGAATACTTTAAATATCTGATCAGTTTTCTCATTTTCTACTCTTGATATCTGGTTTTTTGTTGTTCAATCCATAAGTCATGTCTGACTCTTTGTGACCCCGTGCAATATGCCAAGCTCCTCTGTCCTCCACTATCTCCCAGAGCTTGCTCAAATTCATGTCCATTGAGTTGGTGATGCTATGTAATCATCTTATTCACTGCCACCCCTTTCTCCTTTTGCCTTCAATCTTTCCCAGCATCAGGATCTTTTCCAGTGAGTTGGCTCTTCGCATCAAGTGGCCAAAGTTTTGGAGCTTCAGTTTCAGCATCAGTCCTTCCAATGAATATTCATGGTTGATTTCCTTTAGAATTGACTGGTTTGATCTCCTTGGAGTTGTAGGGACTGTCAACAGTCTTCTCCAGCACAATTCAAAAGCATCAATTCTTTGATGCTCAGCCTTCTTTATAGTCCAGCTCTCACATTTGTATGTGACTACTGGAAAAACCTTAGCTTTGGCTATACAGACCCTTGTTTGCACAGTGATGTCTCTGCTTTTTAATACACCATCTAGGTTTGTCATAGTTTTCCTTCCAAGGAACAAGCATCTTTTAATTTCATGGTTGTAGTCACCGTTTGCAAAGATTTTGGAGCCCAAGAAAATAAAATCTGTTACTGCTTTCAGTTTTTTCTCTTCTATTTGCCATGAAGTGATGGGACAACATTCCAGGATCTTAGTCTTTTGAAAGCTGAGTTTCATGCCAGCTTTTTCAGTCTCCTCTTTCACCCTCATCAAGAGGCTGATTAGTTCCTCTTCACTTTCTGCCATTAGAGTGGTATCATCTGCATATCTGAGCCTGTTGATATTTTTCCTGGCAATCTTGATTCTGGCTTGTGATTCATCTAGCCCAGCATTTCTCATGATGTACTCTGCATAGAGTACATATGTAGGGTGATAATATACAGCCTTGACATACTCCTTTCCCAATTTTGAACTAGTCATTTGTCCCATATCCAATTCTTTTGCTTCTTGACCTGCATACAGGTTTCTCAGAAGACAGGACGGGTGGTCTGGTACTTTCATCTCTTTAAGAATTTTCCACAGTTTGTTGTGATCCACACAAAGGCTTTAACGTATCAATGAAGCAGAAGTAGATGTTCTTCTGGAATTCCCTTTCTTTCTCTATAATCCCATGAATGTTGGCAGTTTGATCTATGTTATTCTGAGTTTTCTAAACCCAACTAACACATCTGAAAGTTCTCAGTTCATTTACTCCTGAAGCCTAGCTCGAACGATTTTGAGTATAACCTTCCTAGCTTGTGAAATGGGTACAATTGTATGGTAGTTTGAACACTCTTTGGCACTGCCCTTCTTTGGGATTGGAATGAAAACAGCTTTTCCAGTCCTGTGGCCATTGCTGAGTTTTCCAAATTTGCTGACATATTGAGTTCAGCACTTTAACAGCATTATCTTTTAGGATTTTAAATAGCTCAGTTGGAATTCCATCACCTCTACTAGCTTTGTTTGTAGTAATGCTTCCCAAGGCCCACTTGACTTTACATTCCAGGATGTCTGGCTCTAGGTGAGTGACCACATCATCGTGGTTACCCAGGTCAGTAAGCCCTTTTTATATAGTTCTTCTGTATATTCTTGCCACCTCTTCTTAACCTCTTCTGCCTCTGTTAGGTCCTCACTATTTCTGTCCTTTATCCTGCCTATCCTTGCATGAAGTATTCCCTTGATATCTGTAGTAGGCTTGAGATCTCTAGTCTTTCTCATTCTATTGTTTTCCTCTATTTCTTTGCCTTGTCCATTTAAGGCCTTCTTATCCCTCTTTGTTATTCTCTGGAGCTCTGCATTCAGTTGGGTATATCTTTCTCTTTTTTCTCCCCTGCTTTTTGCTTCTCTTCTTTCCTCAGGTATTTGTAAAACCTTCCCAGACAGCCATTTTGCTTTTTTGCATTTCTTTTTCTTGGAGATGGTTTTGATCACCACCTCCTGTACAGTGTTACGAATCTCCATCTGTAGTTTTTCAGGTGCTCTGTCTACCAGATCTAATCCTTTGAATCTATTCATCACCCACACTGTGTAATCATAAGGGATTTGATTTGCCCACAGTTGTAGATCTAATGGTCATCTGAGTTAAATTCGCCCATCTCTGTCCATTTTAGTTCACTGATTCCTAAGATGTCGACGTTCACTCTTGCCATCTCCTGCTTGACCACGTCCAAGTTATCTTGATTAATGGACCTTACATTCCAGGTTCATATGCAATACTGTTCTTTACAGCACTGGACTTTACTTTCACCACCAGACATATACATCTGAGTGTCGTTTCTGTTTTGTCTCAGCGGCTTCATTCTTTCCGGCGCTTTTAGTAATTGCCCTCCA